CTTGGACATAACTCTAGGGCCTTTTCCTAGTCATCAAGGCCCCTTAGAGTAGGGTACCCTGAACCCTAAACCCTAAACCCTAACCCTAAACCCTAAACCCTAAACCCTAAACCCTAAACCCTAAACCCTGCTGCCTGGACCCTTTTTGGGACCTCCGACTGAGTCTGAGGAAGATCTGAGGGTTCATTTAAGGACTCCTTTAAGGGATCCTTTAAGGGATCCTTTAAGGGATCCTTGAAGGGTGTCTTTACGGCTTCTTGTAAGAGTTAGGGTTTCGGGTTTCAGGGTTTACGGTTTAGTGTATTCGGTTCAGGGGTTTAGGGTATAGGGGTCTAGTGCATCTAGGGTTTTGGACCTTTTGGTTTAGAGTTTAGGGGTCGCGGGTCGGGGATCTTCACGTGTAAGCGAGAGAAAGGCCTGACTCTCTAGACCGGGGGTTTAGGGTTTAGGGTTTTGCTGGCTTAGGGTTCTGGATTTAGGGAGGAAGCCTAAACCCTAAACCCTAAACCTAAATCAAAGAAAAATCACATGACCCCCTGTTATGACCCCCTAAACTGTCAGGACTCTGGGACTCAGCTTGCGGTCAAGCTTGGAGCGTGATGTGTGTCCATGTCTGGCAACCGCTGCAGACCTTTGAAGGCCCAGCAGTATCGCACTGACGTCAGCTAACACTCTTGCGACCTGGCAAAAACAAGCATTCACTGGGTCCGACTGCACCCGTGCGTAGCTTTACAGCATCAGCCATGGTGGTGCCATGGTAAGTCGTTTCGTCTTTCCGGCCTCTGGGGTCCTCCCTGCCGTTCCGGTCTACTATGTGCACGACACACGAACGCTCCTCTGGGAGACTTCCAAGATCCACACAAGCTGCTGCGGCATAGGGAGGCGTGGCAACAAGGAAAGGGTAGGGAGGTTCTGTGCGCTTTCTTTCGCTCAGCCCCCTTTCCGAGGCGGTACTACCAGGATGCACAGAAGTTGAAGGCCGTAATCGCGAAAGTGCATGCGCGCGTGTTCGTTGGCCATGCCGTCCCAGCAATCTACGCCACTTGGACGTGAATGTCGTGTTTGAATTTTCTTGCTTGAATTAGCTTCGTCGCTGCAGCATTTCAGGTGCATAGCCAGATGAAAAAGCGAGCCTTCAAGGGTGATGTCTCGTTGATCCCCGACGATGTTTTGCAAGAGTCTGTTCCGGAGATTGTAACATCGACCAGTATGCTTGCCAGCCAGCTTGTCGCCTGGTGCACCGGCACACGCCGGGCTGCTGAGCATTGCAAGAAGATGCACGGCTGCAGGGGGTCTGTCCATGTAAAAGCTGGTTGTGCGTGCTTGAACTGCTGTTGCAACACAATGCTGGCTCAGGAGTGCTTGCTGCCTGCGAGACTGGCTGCATGCAGCGGACTCTACACCCAGTCTAACGGAGATACAGATTTCACAGGCATTCAATAATTGTGTGTGCTAGCAAGCATGTCTGGAGTTGCAGACTTGTAGATCATGAACTGTGAAGGTGCCGGTTGCAGTACGAGCAGGTGCCTGCGTGCTGCACGAGCAGCCCCGTTTGGCAAGCTTGCCGTGGTGGCCAGATTTCATCAGTTGGTGGGAGCAAGAGATTGATTCCGAGATCAGTGCAGCACCCGCGGCAAGACTATGCGCAACCAACGCAGCTGCCCCACTTGTATGTGCTTTTGTTGCGGCGTGCCGGCGTGAGAAGCAAGTGACTCAGGTGCGCGCGGTTCCGCTGTCTTGCCTTGTCGCCATGCTGTACTATCATGGTGCTGATGCCACTACTGCCGTCGCAGACCAGCTGCTGGTGAGAGCAGGTGAAGCTCTCATGCAACATGCTGTCTTTCTGATGCAGCAAGGACAGCAGATGGTTGCCGCTCCTACCCGGTCAAAATGGACGCAAATTGACCGCTATGAGATCGAGAATCTTCTTTTGTCGCTGGACACCGGGTAGGGAACTTGTGCGAATACGTGTATTTGCATTGAGTCTCGTGGCCTGTTGTCTTCGGTCCTTATCTGACACGTACTTGTCCATGTGTCCATGAGTTTTTTTTGTTGTCCAGGAGCCCGGGGAAAGCGTGGACAAGGCTTTGCAAGCCCGAGGCTTGGGATCCATGCTGAGGATCTTGCAGGAGGATTTGTGCAGACAGACAGTTACGCAGTGCAGAATCAGTAAGAACATTATGTGGGGGCTGTGCAGTTGCATTGAAACACATCCTAGAATGCCTGCCAGGAGTTTGGAAGTGTATATCGATGTCGCGTCACCAGCGAGTTCTCCCAGTGCAAGTACATACAGGCCGGCCGCGCCCCTTACCCCCACACCCCCACCCCACAGCACCACACCCACCACACCTCCCAGCACATCACCCAACATACCACCACATTCGGTGTGGGTGCGGTTTAAGGTTGCTCACCATGTGGTGGGGAGCCTCTGTGGGATGGCTGCGGTTTAGCGTGCGCATGCTGGCAATTCTGATTTCTGAGCAGCCGAGGTGGCCTTGGATGCTGGCAGCATTGGCGGGACCAGCAGTCTGCATTTTTCTATATTCAGTCCAGACATCAGCATGGGGGCGATTCTTCCCCTGCAAGTTTCTTGGCTGCATGTGGATCACAAAGCGACAGTGCGCAGCCTGTCGTCCAGAAGCCTTGCTGCTCGGACAAAGTCTTTGGCTGCATCTACGTCTCGAAATGATACCCAGACAGACCCCCGTTTTGGGCGCCAAAAGGCCGGTTTGTGGGGTGCCTCGGAACCATAGATTTTAGGGTGGATATGCAGTGCTGAACATTCTCACTAGATCGCGCGCTGCGGGAGCCTTGCATTGTGAGTTACACGCATGTGCAAGGGAACGTGTAGTGTAGGTATAGGTAGGAGCGAAGGGCCGATGCCACGCTTGTCTGACCGCTATGGCTGGGCAGATGTCCTGGTGGACACCCTTCTACAGCGAGTAAACCACGCAGAACTCCAACACCAAAGTCTACTTGGAGTCTGTGGCGGTACGGACTCTGACTTTTCAGGAGGGTGTTGCGCCTGGGAGTGCGCTGCAGCCATGATCCAGGCATCTGCAGCAGAACGTGGACTGTTTGTAGACCTGGCACCACGGACCTTGTGTGAGTCTTTGCCAGCATACTGAGAACCTATGAATAGCGTTGTAGTTGTAGGCCAGGAGGCTTCCGCAGCGGCGTCGTTGAGTTTCATTGCGCCTAGGAGAATGATTCGGCGATGGCAGCCGCCGCCAAGACCATGCTGCCCAGCGAAGCGTGTGTATTCAATGATGCCATGGAGATTTGGGGTGAGCCGGACGCTGTCAAGGATCGGTTTCAGGGTCTGAGCCCCTCAGAACAGATCGCCTTGGCATGGAACTTGCCGTGCAAACAGACTGCATGGTGCTCAACTCATGGCAGGCAGTGCCCACTGGCAGATTGTTTCAATCCCCGTCCACGTGTCCAAGGGCCCCCGTGCCCGGATTGGTCTTCTGCAGGCTCCAGAAGAGGCTACCAGGGGCCACATCTGGTAGCAACTCTTGCAGGCGCGCGCAAAGCGGCGCTCTGCAACTCGCCCGTTTGCGTTGTCGAGAACGTTCCCAGCTTCCCGGATGACTTGGTCTATGCAGCGTATGGTCAGTCCTTTCTCTGGTCGTCACTACTTGTGGACACAGATCTGGTGGGGTTCGAATTTATTGCTCGGGAAAGGACCCTGTGTAGTCGTCATGTTTCCGCTCATATTCGCATCGTGTCTTTGTGCTTGCGCAATGCGTCTCTAGATATGCAATCGAAACTGCAGGAAGTACATGGCCGGCATCAACCAGGACGCAGCCGTTTTGTCTGCAGACTTCCACTCCATATTGGAGGAAGTGCATCTGAAGCTACGGCGGGACACCTCGGAACGGCTAGGGACTCTCGCTCGCACAGCATACTTACTGTAAACTGCTGTTTTTCGCGGCTTCACTTGTAGACGGCAGAACTTGTTTGGTCTGGAACAGGCCTGGATGCGTGTTGCTTTCTGACCTCGCTGATGTTCAAGACGACTGCCGAAGACTCTCGGCCACGCGGCAGCAGTCGGCCGCTCATCGAGAGCCGGCTGCAGACTTGGATCCCATGGCATGCTGGCATCATACGGAGCTCACACGTGCCGATGAGTACGTGCGCTTGTACGAGGGAGCGCCCCAGGGAAAATGTGGCTGGTGGGACCTGGTCTGCCATTTAGGCGACGATCCGCGGACTGGGTGGTGCAACTGGAGCTGCAAGAGCGGCCGCATTCCTACCCTTCGGAAATCTTCTGGTCTGTACGCTATGCCAGCTTTGCATCGTCACCTTACAGTACGCGAGCTCTACGGTGCCATGGGATTTCCAGTCACTGCATCATTAGCTTCGGTGGCGAGGGTGCCTCTTTACGACCCTTGGCGGGCCGGTCTAACGCACACCCGCTCGCGTCAGGCGTTGGGGAACTCCCAAGTAGTTCCCCAGGTTGGTTGTATCACCGGTTGCCTCATGGCTTCTGTGAAGTGCCTGCAGTTCCAGTACAGAGACCCCATGGAGCTGAAAGATGTGTAAGTGATTTAGGGCAATGTAGGCCATAGCTGCCCAAAAGAGCAGCTGGCTCGGAGTGCAGCAGCAGTAAGACCACAGAGTATGGCATTGACGCTGTCCTTCTAGTTTTCTTATGTCAGACATGGCATTGGGCTACCGCTGCGAATCTATGCCATTTCAATCATGCTTCAAATCTGGATGCTGCGCCCTTTCTGAGCGTGTGTCTATACACGTGACAGGATCCTGCTGAACGAGTTTAAAGAGCAGCATGTCTAGCCAGGTGCTTTATTTGAGGCAACTCAGGCAGCTCTATTCTGCGCAGAAACTTTGGGAATTCGAAGCCGTCTGCGTGGCTCCCGTGCTGTAGCTGCAGGAAGCTTTGAAGGCACACACCTTTGTGCCATGGAGCCACCTCCGTTTCCTCCCAGAAACCCGTGGCAGATGCCTCCAGCCAGGGTGCCGCAGCCTGCGGCTCTGAGCGGAAGTCCTGCTTCAGCGCCGCCGCCGCCCCCACCTCCGGGAGGTGCAGACTCAGCGGCGCCGCCGCCGCCAGCGCTCGCAGGTCCTGCAGCCTTCCGAACCCGAGCGCAGCAGCTTGCTGCGGAAGCTCCCTTGGCTGGCGTGGCCCCTCGCCGAGGCTTCCGTCTCTTAGCATGTCCTAGCCGTGCACGACTTGCGCACCACTTCGTCTGCACCGTACGCCTTGCTCAGGCGCGGCTGTGGACAAAGCCGCTGGCCCCAAAGCCACGGCCACTCCTCCCCCGAATAAGCGGCCGAGGCTCGAAAGGCCGGTGACGTCCGATTTGATTCAGGGATCCAAGATGGAGGACCTCTATGGGGACGATTTTTCAAAGATCCTTCACCAGATCGAGCCTGACCAGTTCAATGAGATCTACACGGCTCGGCTGTCTCTGGAAGACAGACAGGCCGGCGCAAGCTCAGAGAGAGAATGAGGTAGAGCTGCGCGCGAGTCTCTGTCGCAGGGTTTGGTCGGCATGCTTGCTGGTCAGTGGCCGGAGGACAAGCTGGTGAAGAAGTACCGTCGCTTTGCTTTGCTTTTCCTAACAACACATCGCAGCAAGAGTTATGTCATCGGACTCGTGTTATACTCAGGTAAAGATCTCTACGTGGCGCTGGCTTCCGAGTATCGACGTCGGGCATCTGTGGGGGAAGCACCGCAAAACAGCTCTCTCAGCCGCACATATTGAATGACATATTGCATAGTTGCGGCTTGTGCACTCCCCTTTTGCAGCTCTATCACCTTGCACCAAGTCCTGGCTTCGCGACTGTTGGAGACGGTGCGGGCACTACGTGCCCGCAAGCAGGAGGTTATGGGCAGCCTTCAGATCTACATGCACGGCAATCGCTGCTGTGTGGCGAGTGCGACGCAGACCGCATGGCTGCCGCAGTCAACTCATCCGTGGGACATGATCGTCTACTGGGACCGGGAGCCCGGTACTCAGCACTTTTCTGTCGAGTTGCTACGTGTGCACTCAACGTCCACACTCATTAACCTCTGCGTGGTTCATCCGAGAAATCAGGAGCGAGCGACCCTACGTGTCAACTCCAGTTTCCTCTGCATGGCTATCAGACTACCTGACCATCCCATCGCCGCAGACAACACTGCCGGCAGAGGAGCCTGGGTTGGGATCTGTGAAACGTCACATGTTGCTTCATAGTTGTAAGTCTTTTCTTGTAGAGTGTGCAGGTCCTCGGCCTTTTGTAACCATATGCCTGGTCATTTCTGCGATTGACAGTACGCAGGCCGCGTCACCGCCCGGTGCACCTGCCATGGAGAGTGGCACGGGAAGCGCGCATCCGACCCCGCCAAGGGGGGGTCCTCCTGTTCCGGACGCTCGTTCCGAGACTGGTCTATCGATGCGATCTGAGACGCCCGCTGCTGAGTTCATGATCGTGAGTCTGGGTGCCAAGAAGCTGCTGGTCAAGGCAGATGCCAGTGGTGTGGCATCCGTTTCTGTGGAGCTTCCGCCGGCGGACGACTATCACATTTCGCGTTGTCAGCTCACCGGGTATGCGTACGTCGCTTCAGCATCGACATCCTTTCAGGAGTGGGTGACTTTGCTGCAACATGGCTAAGCCGATCTTTTGTCGAGCCGAGTGTTATTCCACGGCCCTCTTCGCAAACCCAAACCTTAAAGCCCGAGACCCTCCTGTAGCGGCGCTCTAAGGCTGTAAGGTCTCCAACCAGGGGTCAATGCCAAACTGCAGTTGAGGCTGCACTTGTTTCTCGGGTTTATTTTCATGGCAGGCAGACGGTTAACCGCTAACTCTCGCGTGAAGTAGCGACAGCCTGCTTAATAATTGATTGTAGGTCGTGTCTATACCTTGCACAGAGCAATGCCAAAAAGAATGGGGGGGGGGGGGGGTTGCAAACTGCCAAAAATCAGGGATGTAGGACTCGTGCGT